CTTTCAACCGCAAGCTAGGGGAAAGAGTGGATGAGCGTGATTATCTAATTCATTTTTATCTTTCCGCAAGCCCTTCAACAATGGTACCCCCAGTTCTCTGTCATTGCTATCCGTCGTTGTATACTTTACCACATTAGGGCTTCCCTCTCCTTGTGAGTACGTTGTAATTTGGAATCTATCCTCATCTTCCATGTTTTTAGATGGAGTTCGGAGAATGCGATTGATATCCTTGCAACTGGAGTGACCATCATCACCACCACTGTTCATCGATTACTAGGATGAGGCTGACTTCACCAATCCTAAGAATCCCAACCACGTCGACGCTTAGTATCCAGAGTACACAGGTACTAATTGCTGATTTGTTGTATCCAACAACATCTACCCTCGTCTCACCTTTCACCCACAGCCCTCCCAAGCGAACTCTTCGAATTCCAGACGCATCCACGTCAGAACATCCCAAGAAGTTATGCGGTAACAACACCGTGTCCCGTGCAGATACGCTACCGGAGCCTTCTATGGAGGCACGAAGGTTTACAAAGCGCTCGACATCTGCCTTGGAAGAATAGGTATCACAGCTAGGGGATCATCTTCACGTCGGTCACCTTTAGGTCTTCTTCTTCCGTGTTTCGTACACACACATGGAGTTCATTTTCTGATGCCTTTCTCTTCAGAAATGTCTATTGCTGCGATGCTGCTGGATAAAACTTGGTTTACTTATAGCTGATTAAGAGGCTTAGAACCCGCAAGCCTGTCCACACGGTTATGTAGGAGGATTCTTGGCCATCCGCGCCTTTGATTCTGTGTAGTCCTGCTGCTAGCCCCGCGGAAACTCCCAAGTCCAACTCGTCGTTCGTCGAGAGAAAGAAGGGGCTGGCATTAGCCTCGTCAGTCTCCGATCGTGCTACCTGGGGCGGAGAACGGGCTCAGCGATCACGAGGCAGGAATTCGGTTCAACGATTTTTCGGAACGACCAGAACGCTCAGAGTTCGAAGGAGCACGTATGACTGATCGGTCCCGAGAAACTTCTTGTCAAGTTTCTGCGCTCACAGAAACGGGGCTGTTGAACGTTACTGCGGTGATGATCTGTCGTAGACACCTCGATCTGCTATTCAGTGGGACTAAGAGGCGCAACATAAGATGAACTTGGAAAGCGAGAGATCTACTTGGCAGCTTGCAAGCTCAATATCATGCTCGCGCACACTGTTCTCAACGACGACGTGAAGATGGAGAATGAGGGCAGGCGGCCACCTGATGTCTGGTTGGCATCATCGTGTATACTCATTCCGAAGGGTCAAGTTCTGTTCCGCAAGCGTGCAACGTACTTAGAGACGTTCCGATCTAATGTATATATAATTGATTGCTCCAATGGAGATTGTCACTACAACACAGCGCAAGGAATGCCCAAGGTGAGCCTTGAATCAAGCTGAACTTCGTGGACTATCATGACTTGTATATAGAACTGCATTTTCTGTATTCTTAACCTTGCGCGCTGAAACACCGCAGGTTCATGACACACAACTCGAGCGGCTCGTAAGCGGAATCGCACAATAGATGACCACGCTCTGCTTCTTCAAAGTCCTCAATATGAAATCCAACGAATTACACGCATCCAGCACCACTCACTCTGCACACACGTCGCTGTCTACAAAGCCGCAGGCTCATAAAGGTCTTTTATCTCCCGAAACCCATACTCCTCCTTCCCAAAAATCTCCCGGGGCTAGAAATACCGTTGCTGATCGACATCTTCACGAAAGTCATGGAGGCCCATGGAGTTTGAGAGTAGGAGCTGGAAGCCTTGCCAGGAGCTTCCTTTTCGAGGCTAAGAAGATGCGGAAGAGGCCTTCGTCGAGGCCCGGGACGTAGTGGCAGTAGAGGTCGTATTCAGAGATGCTAGAGAGGTAGATGGAGCCGGTGGCGGCTGCTTTGTGGGCGTAGTCTGTCATGCTGGTTTCCATTATTTTTCAAGTTGAACTCGACGAAGTGGGGTCGAAGACGAATTCGACGAGGCCACGCTACGGTAACAGGAGTGAATGGCACCCTTGAAGATGAAGTCAACGTTGAAGACTACAAAGAGAGAACAGCGCCCTTACCATGCACACTACACTCCTGCAACGGTAACAGTGGATGAAGAACTTCGCATGGCGATCACGCGGAAATGACGAGGCAGAGTTTATTGTGTCCGAGGCGTAGAGGGAGGTCTGGATGACGGTAGGGATGAAGGGTTGATGGAATTTGAAGTGGGGTGGAGGCAGTTGAGGTGGAAGACGAGGGATTCGAAGTGGAATGGGGTATTGAGGCGGAAGGGAAACTTTGGAGGTTCCGTGCGGAAGCTCTGCACCCGGGGACACTGTTAGGGTCGGGCATGTAAGTTCGAAAGGCAAGATTAGTATCTGAAGGGGCGAGGGAGTGCGAAGGAGGGTCGAAGCCATGCGATTATGGTGGGTTTGCTTCATCGACTTCTGGTTTACACCGACGTACGAATACTTGTGTGTGTTTCCAGAGTGGCGGCCTGTGAGTAGGCCTTGAGCAGCACTTGATCATCACGCACATCTGAGGGTGGCCATTTTACGTTGTAAGAATTTTAAAAAAGCTCAAGATTCGAGGGACGTACCTTTGTAACTCAAGGCCATGTTGGACGAGGAGTGGATGATAAGTAGATGAGTGCCGTATACTAGTGTTTGCCGTATTCTTGGAGCGGGCATAGTTGCCTGCAAGCCCGGTGAACAGGCGTTGTACGAGGAGGAGAGAAATGTTGGAGAAACGTGACGTCGTGATTCGCTCGTCGCCTATACCTATCCAATCCCAGCGAACACCTACAAAACCAGCAACAATCCCCACAAACCATTCGAAGCCTTGCAGTGTCCTTTACAACTGCGAACAAGAGAGGAGAATAGGGAAATCTGAAACCTGGGACATCCACAATGAGTCACGTCCCCCACAATCTTCTTAAATTTTTAATTTACGAGTCCGTGTTTGACGTCCAGCTTCTTGGTGTACAGTTCGGACCCCCCACCAGGTGAGTACTTGGAACTTGGAACCTTTGACCACCTTTCTGATTTATAGCCACAAGAACAATCAAAAATTCACGAACGTCCCCCAACGGGATACATGATCGGATTCACCTCCGAGCCTTCGTTGGGGCCATTGAACAGGTTGCACAGAGCGGTCGATGAACATATCGAATATCAATCGAGTAGCTCATCATCTGCAGTCGTTACTCGTCTTTCGGTGACTACGATGTTCTATTCACTCGGTCGGAGTCCGAGCCAGTGACTCGCTAGGGATCCTAAGGGATTTTCAGCCCTGTCATCTCTCGCGTTCAGAAAGAAACGTCTGTTGGGTTCCCATAGGGGACAGGTGTTGTACAGGTTGGAGTACCTTTTTTTGAAAGTCGCGTTACTGCCTTTCGCGCAAGTCCTCCATTCAATCATCGCACCAGCTCTTGGTCCTATTCCAATGCCCGGGGTCTCATACTACTGGCTTGTTTTGTTCGAGTTGGTGGCACACTTGCACTCTCCCGTCGACGCATCAGCTTCGCAGTTCATTTTTGTTCGGATTATGGCACATGCATCCAGACAACAAAGTAAGTACACAGGGAATCAAATGATAACGTCACGCCTTGCCTATGCCCCAATCCTCGTCGTCATTGTTCTCGAACATCTCAACTGCACTTTGTAGCTTGTCCATACTCTCGGGTTTCATCTGATACTCCTTGATCAATTGAATGATCTTCGCCAGAGCTGCATCCCGGTCAAAGCGGCCTGCCAGCTTCACATGTTCCTTAACCTCCTTGTGAACTTTGCTCCTTTCCTCTGAAATGTTGTAGGCCGTAAAGACAAGCTTGATCAAGCGGCGGGAAAGGTGCAAACGGGCGTTCACCACCAGGCCAAAAATTACTTGCATAATAATCGTGAAGTCAACGATGTACGCCATTAAATGTTGTAGCATGAGTGCACTGAGGTTTTCCCATTTAGTGTTTAACATGGCATTGCGAGGAAGACATATGATTGCTCGTACACATTGAATATCCACTTTGTCGAATCTGACGGCTGGTCATTTTGATTCCCAACAAGTTCGATCATCAACTTTTTCAGTTCCTTGCTTTCCAGATACTAGCAGCATAATTTCCATAATTATAAGTGAGAAGAAGAGGAGTGATGATAAAATATTTACCCCACAATCATCCTGAATGTTCCACACTTGAACGATATCAGTATGTAGAACCCGTTGACATTCTTCTATAGTGTTGCCCAGAAATTTCGCGCTAGCCGCGAGACCCATCCAATAACCTAACGGAGAGAGAGCAGATTAGTTGAACTTTCACTGAGGGACACTAGAAGATTCATACGCTTCTTCCCAACTCTTGAAATGGGTGTCAGCATTGCATTAAAAAGACATGTGTTTAAGTGCTCACGCAATCACCGCATCAATCTTCACAGCTGGATTCACGCGTTGAGCAATGGCAGAGACTAGTGCAACATCTCCAGCAACGTCGACCGCCAGGGTGTTTTTAACATAGTCAGTAGTGAGACGGACAAGCTCGTTCAACATCTTTCTGGTATCTTTGTATCCTTTAGTAGCTGCGTTGGCAAATGTAAGCACAAGCCCCAGAAATCTCTTCGCAACTTACTTGAGACGGGGATGTGCGGAATGTTTTTATCAACAACCTTTTCGAAGGGACCAACGCACAATTCTTGGAACTTTGCTCTGGCCTCTTCAGCAAGACGTGCATTTCGGGTTTCCGCATCCAAATGTTTGTTGCGTTTTTGAAACTCGAGATTGTTACCAAATTCAACCTGTCCTACCAACTTATCAAATTTGGTAAAAACGGTGATCACGGGAACTAAATCAAACAGTGAGCAATCGTCGATCAGAGAACACCGAGAACCTACCGGGGCCAAGTTCTCCTTTGGACTTCATACGGAATAACTCTTCCACCCCAGCCTCGAACAAACGATCACCTTCAGACAAGGATACTTGGAAACAAAGCCTGCGCAACACCTTCATCATCTTGCTCACTCAAGTGATCGAGGAGTGGAAAACATACCAGACAGCATGTACCTGATCCCTCACATTGGGCATGTCCTTCCGAGCTTTCAAAAAATAAACGACTTTCTTGAAGTTGTCACCCTCCCCATGCTCGAAGCCCTGACTGTCGTGTAGAACAAATCTTCTGTTTTCGCTGGCTATAATTGGAGTATTGATATTTGACACGCCAGCCTTTGAATGAGCCACGGTCTGGGGAAGGACAAGCTTTAGGAGTGGATTTTGAGAAGACAGGGAAGTGGCCTCACAGCATCCTTGACGCCGAAGCATTCGTTGATAAGGGAAGATTTCCCTACACCACTCTGTAAAAACAAACTGTAAGCTAATGCCTGAGGATAGAGGCATGAGAGAACTACGTTGCCGATGACCAGGACTCGGAACCTAGCGGAAAGGTAAGCCACAGTAGTCGGGGATTAAGCAGACTGACCGTTCGACCAACTTGAATAACTCATCCGTTGTGGGTTGTAGGTCGCCACTCGTCGCAGGTTCTGCCTTGGTTAAAGCATTTTAAGATCGATACCCGCATTACGCGGACGCTTTTGCGTTTGAGATAGAAGTCCACACACCCCTGCGTATTGGCTAAACTTCAGGACGACATCGAACTTGTCAAATGATTTTGACCATTCTAGAGTAGAAGTCCTGCATCAGCAAA